GGTATCCGGCATCAAAAGATAATTCCAAAAACTCCTCAGTTGAATGGCGTAGCAGAAAGGATAAACAGGACACTGGTTGAAAGAATGAGATGTTTGCTTTCACAAGCCCAATTGCCAAAAAAAATTTGGGGGGAGGCATTGAGCACAGTTGTTCATGTGTTGAATCTTACACCCTGTGTTCCTCTACAGTTTGCTGTGCCAGACCGAGTTTAGACAGGTAAGGATGTATCCTATAATCGTTTGCGAGTTTTTGGGTGCAAAGCATTTGTGCATATTCCAAAAGATGAAAGGTTCAAACTTGATTTGAAAACGCGACAGTGTATATTCCTTGGCTATGGCCAAGATGAGTTTGGGTACAAGCTTTATGATCCAGTTGAGAAAAAAATTGTGAGAAGCAGAGATGTCGTGTTTGTAGAAGATCAGACGATTCAGGATATTGAGAAAGCAGGGAAATTTATGTCTCAACAAGGTGATATCTTGACTGATATGGATCCAGCTCCTCTGAAGAATCTGCCATCTCAGGTTGAGAATGATGGTCAGGATGACCACCAGTGTACATGTGATGTGGATGTTCCCTTACAGGTTCAGGGAGATATTGAGACTGATGAGCAGTTGACAGCGCCAGAGATTCCACCAGTGATTCCATCCAGGAAGTCTGCCAGAGACCGACGTCCTTCCACTCGGTATTCAGCAGAGCAGTATGTGTTATTGACTGGCGGGGGAGAGCCCCAGTGTTTTTCAGAAGCCATAGAAGATGAACAAAAGACAGAATGGGTTGAGGCCATACAAGATGAGATGCAGTCATTGCATGATAACCACACCTTTGAGTTAGTGAAGCTACCTAAAGGAAAAAGAGCTTTAGAAAACAAGTGGATTTATAGGAAGAAGCAAAATGAGTTATCTTCACCGCCACGGTACAAAGCTAGATTGGTTGTCAAAGGGTTCGGTCAGAGAAAATGTATTAACTTTGATGAGATCTTCTCTCCAGTCGTAAAGATGTCATCGATCCGTATAGCACTCGGCCTAGCAGCTAGTCTTGACTTGGAAGTTGAGCAGATGGATGTGAAAACTGCATTCCTTCATGGTGATTTGGAAGAAGAGATTTATATGAAGCAGCCAGAGGGTTTCAAAGTGAAAGGGAAAGAGAATTATGTGTGCAAGCTGACGAAAAGCCTATATGGTTTGAAACAAGCACCGAGACGGTGGTATAAGAAGTTTGAATCTATTATGGGGGAGCAAGGCTACAAGAAGACAACTTCTGATCACTGTGCATTTGTTCAAAAATTCTCTAATGATGATTTTATTATTCTACTGCTTTATGTGGATGACATGTTGATTGTTGGCAGGAATGCTTCAAGGATTGAACAGTTGAAGAAGCAATTGAGTAAGTCATTTGCTATGAAGGATTTGGGGCCATCAAAGAAAATTCTTAGCATAAGAATCAGTCGTGACAAGAGTGCCAAGAAGTTATATTTGTCACAAGAGGAGTACATTGAAAAAGTGCTTCAGAGGTTCAATGTGGACAACACTAAAGTGGTTAGCTTTCCTCTTGCTACCCACTTCAGACTGAGTACAAAGCAATGTCCTTCTACAGATAAGGAAAAGAAAGACATGGAAAGAGTTCCTTACGCCTCAGCAGTAGGAAGTTTGATATATGCAATGATTTTCATAAAACCAGATATAGCCCATGCAGTTGGTGTAGTTAGCCGATTCTTGTCAAATCCGGGAAGAAAGCATTGGAATGCAGTGAAGTGGATCATGAGATATCTTCGAGGCACTTCCAGTTTAAGACTTGGTTTGGGAAACGGACAACCATTGTTAGTTGGCTACACAGATGCAGATATGGTAGGGGATGTAGATACTCGTAGGTCTACTTCGGGTTATTTGATCACTTTTGCAGGTGGGGCTGTAGGTTGGCAATCGAGACTTCAGAAGTGTATTGCTCTTTCTACGACAGACGCAGAGTTTATTGCAGCAACGGAAGCGACTAAAGAGTTCCTATAGGCAAAGAAGTTCTTGAGAGAACTTGGTTTCAAGCAGCAGAGGTATGTGTTGTTTTGTGATAGCCAGAGTGTTATTCATCTTGCTAAGAATTCCAGTTTCTATGCAAGATCTAAGCACATTGATGTACGATACCATTGGATCAGAGATGCGTTGAACAATAAGTTACTTGAACTTGAGAAGGTTCACACTGATGATAATGGCTCTGATATGTTGACAAAGATATTACCAAGGGAGAAGTTTGAAGTTTGTTATTCGATCGCCGGGATGGCGATTCCCTTCACATAGTCGGAAAGGGAGAGATTTGTTGGGTTTATTTCCTTCTATATGGAGGAAAGCCCAAGTGGGTTTTATTAAAAGCTCAAAGCCCAGCCTTTAGGGAAAAGAAAACCCTAAGGAAGTTAGTATAAAAAGAGAGAGAGGTTAGCCGCAAGTGAAAAAAACAAAGAGAAGAAAAACACAGGTTTTTCCATTCTGCCCAGGTTTGATCAAATGTCCGATTCCGCTTCGTCCGTGGTCAGATCAAGCTGAAAATTGGAGGAGAGGTTCACGACTCAGTGACGCACAATCTGAACGATGGAGATCAGATTTTGAGCTCAGGAACAGTGATTCGTACTCGTGAACAGTAACCTGGTTTTGGTAGAAAAACGCAGGTTTTTCTATTCTGCCCAGATTTCATCAAATATCCGATCCCGCTTCGTCCGTGGTCCGATCGAGCTGAAATTTAGAGGAGAGGTTCAAGACTCAATGAGTTAAAATATGAACGGTGAAGATTGGATTTTGCACTCGGGAACAGTGATTCGTGCCTGTAAACAGTAACCGGGTTTTGGTATTTTTCTCTCCAATTCTCTTTCTTTTTGCCAAGATTGTTGTTATCTTGATGAGACGTTTTGTAACCTCTAATTGCGATTAGAGAAGACTTTGTGTACCCATTATTTGGTTAATAGTGGAGATTTTAACTTGACTAGGTCTCGTGGTTTTTCTTCCACACTGGGAAAGTTTTCCACGTAAAAAATTGCTTGTGTTCTTGTGGCTTGTTGTGATTGATTTGTTCTCTATTATTTTCAGTACATATAAAAGTAGAGATATATTATATTTGCTTGCATATAGGGAGAAGAATTATTCCGCTGCAGAAAACTACTGAAATAATTACATCAGAGGATTTGCGTTCGTGATTTCGGGCGTGAGGAAGTTGTTGTTTGGAGCGCGAGTCCGAATCCAAATTGTTAGTTGGAATATATGATTCGGAATTGGAGTCAGAAGGAGCGAAGGTGACAAAATTGATAAAGTGGATGTCTTCAAAACCAAATTTGACAAGACTTATATATGATTATTAACTGATGATGTTCTATTCAATGAATGCCTTGTACAAAAGCTAAAAATATATATTGAGAAAAAAAAAATTAAAAAAGAAAAAATCAAGAAACAAAACAAAACTAAAATTTGAATTCATACCTTCAATCCAAGAGGGTGCTCAATTTATATGCGTTTTTCCATTACGAACCATGAGTAGTTTACCAAAAATGGGTGCTCAATTTATATGCATTTTTCCATTACGAACCACGAGTAGTTTACCAAAAATACACACACACACACATATATATATATAGAGGTTAAGTGTAAAAAATGACAAATCATAATTTTGGTGATAAAATTACTAAATTAACCTTACTTTAACATTAGTAAAAAAAGGGGGGCAAAATATCAAAATTACCTTTAAAGTCAAAACATAACATAACAGTATAAGGATTATAAATCAGTGTCCCAATATTTAAAACAAAATTGGAATGTGGGTGTCTAATTACCTTTTACCAAATTCAACCATTGTCCTTCCAATACATTCAAGAATATCTATATATAAATCTATAGTTGCTAAAAAAAAAATTTAGACATACGCCACTAACTACACGTCAATCTCACTTATCAATTATAATTTTTTTTTTTAACTGTATTTTATCCTACTTATTAATGATTTTTGAGAAATTGTGCTTGAAAAGTTAATGGTAAACGGACTTGGAAAAAAAAAGAGAAAAAAAAAGTTAATAGTAAACTCAAAAAGTTTGGCTTGCACATTATATGATAAAAATAGACATTAATAAAATAAAATAAAATAAACAATTTTTTTTTTAAAAAAAATGTGTTGCTTGAGTATGTGTTCAGCCGAAGAGTAACTAGATCAAAATTTTAATTTTGATAGAAATCTGAAGTTCATCTGATAACAATTTGAATCAAAGCAAATCCATTTATTTAATAATAATATTATTATTATTATAGATATAGATAAATATATAATTAAGGGGGGCGCATTCATTTACAATAAAATATAGTGCATCTATCATTCGGAGAGGAGATAATATTGGCATAGAAAAAAATTTAGGAGAAAAAGAAAATAGAAATAGAGATAATATCGGCGGCCACAAAAAATATTTTAGAGAGAATATATTTTTTAAAGAGACAGACTATGACAATACAAAGAATTTTCCTTGGACAGGTCTTGAAACACATTCAAACAAAACCATTTAATATTCAAATACATACAAAATTAGTAGGGACATTATTGTCAAACAAAAATAGCACTTTTAAATTTTTTTTTTAAAAATAATATTACTAGCCGCTCTTTTTCAACGAATCCATTCAATGATGGACAAATTGCTCAAAAGATGAATAATACAATGAGTTGTATTCAATTTTTTATTTTATTTTTTTTCTTTTCTAATAGGGGTGTTTCTTGCATATTTTTTATATAATAAGGGAATTTGCATATCTATAGGGTCCTATAGATATATAGCCATCATATCTAAGGAACCGTATAATGTGATTGAATTTCTTGCTCATTAGTAAACAAGAAATCATTTTCGATATATATAAGGTAATGATCGAGCAAGAATTTCATCGACAGTGTCCGTAGATGTATAAAGATAGACATTGGATTTAGTAACAAAGAAAAAAATAATAAATAAAGGGAAAAAAAAATTAAATTGTACAGGAAAAGAAAGACATCCAAACATATATAATCATTTCATTCGATGATGATAAGATACAAACAAATAATTGGCCGATTATTCATGCTGGATGCACCTAATATGATAAATTTACATTGGGACGTTCCACATTTAAGTTTTATGGAACGAGAATTATTACTTTCAAAATGGATACAGAACTGATGCTAATTGCTAATAATGAAATAAAGACAACCTCGTTGTTTGTGGATACCAGTAATAAAAATTGGAGAAAACATTCCTAAAGTTTTGGAAACCCAACCGACTTTTCAAGAAACTTTGAGGAGACCACTTTTTGTCACTGCATTTTTAAAATATTACATACTTGAAAGTGATCATGATTGTCAGGATCCAACTCTTAAAAACGTTTGTACTATTGGCCCAATTCTTGCAATCCTCGTCATGGTCAAGAGCGTCACATTCCAGTTTTCCAAATAATTAAGAAGGCATTTTGTAGGGCTAAAATCTTTTTTGCAATATGATTTCCAGCACGATACATACCAGTCCACTGACAGCAAATACCATGGTGCCCCTAAAACCTGGAAGAACAAAATTGAATCATCAATTCCAACACAATTACGCAACTCTTGAGAGAGAGGGAAAAAAAAAAAATTGAGAAAAGGAATATTAAAGTGATAAAAATGAGCACAAATGGCATAACACTGGTAGAAGTTTTAAACTAAATTGGTTAAAAGCATAAAGTGACAAATAAATAACATAAATTGATTTAATTTAAAGTTACATAGTAAGCAAACATGTACAATATCAGATTATATGCATCCCTTGCTAAAAACTGGTTTTGTGACGACACCAGTTGCTTTAATAAGTAGTGAACTTAATAGGAAAATCAAATATAGTGCGGGCACAAACTGGAGTAGAACAATCAGTGAAAGGGCATTGTTATTGTGATCAGCTCATAAGCTACTCGCTGCTAGCATAATGAACCAGATAACAATCTGCAGAAAATATATTCAGCTAACAATTCTTTTCTCCTAGATAACTTTATACGGAGTAATTTACTAGAATAAAGGTAAAGAAAATTGTATTAGTAAAAATAGGCTTATAGGAGCAGAAATAAGTGTGATTGTCATGATGGAGTCTAGAATATATAGAAAACACAAACTTACTATGATTACTTTAATACTGATGAAATAGAGAAATTTAAATTTCCCCTTATTATTTATTTTTGTTTTTAATGCCGGGTGAGCAACACAAGATCACAGTAATTACTTTCTCATTTCAGGAATTTAAAATACTATAAGAAAAGTAAAAGTACCAGACTTCAAATTCCTCATCAGACGATTCTTTCGAGATGATCTCATATCGTGGAATATTCAATCGATCATGCCTGACTTCTGTTTCAAAACCTCTATCGCCTATGGGAAAACTCTGTCACACGGTCAGATGCGAAGCTATATATGCAACTCTATTAGCTACTGTGTTTCCTTGAGAATATTGAAATGATATTTCATATTTATCAAATTCTAACGAACCAAAAATTTTGCTGCATCACAATAGTTTTATATCAATATAATTGGAAACTTGAATATAAATTTTAAGAATAAACTCGAACTTTATACAAAAAACTTACTGATAAAGTCCAAGACATTCAATTGGTATATCGTTCTCACGATTTAGCACCTTGACAATTTTTTTATGGTTAATCTCCAATAATATATCCTTTGCTTCCAATCTCCTTTTAAGAATTTCATCTATCCCATGAAGCACTCCAAGTAACAATACTTCATCTCTAGATGTTGCATCAGGAAATGGCTTATAGAAAATTTCCAAAATCCTTCCCCTACAATCTCTTAATACTTCTCCACAACAAGCTTCCTTGGTCCCACCAAGATTTTTCTTAAAAAACACAGAAACATTTAACTTGTACTGTCCATCGAATGGTGCTCTCCAAGAAGAGAGTACTGAGTATTTTAATAGTGTCATTGGAGAACTCTCCAAAACATAAATTTGCTGCTTAAACAGGTAATTATAAATCCTTTTTTTGTACTTTTTAGGAATCCAGAGTACCAACCACATGAAGTCATTTATCGAGATATATCTGGTCTTGGAAACCCCAGCCACATGCCAATCAGTGTTGCCCTTTTTGAACAACCCATAATTTTCTAATATAATGTTGTGCTTCTGTTCGAAAAAAAGTTGTTGGGGTCCACAAAAAACCTGTTGTTTAAAGATCAAACAATATAATTGTTAAAAAAAATCTGAATTAGATAAAAAATAAAATTAAAAATTAAAAATTAAAGTTATGTATATATTGAACTTACGACTAAATTGGGGATGCAATTGTGGATGCTTTTAAAATTTCCTTCGTTGATAAAAGATACAGAACTTGCAATAAAATTGTCAATGTTTGGAAAATTTCCTTCCTTGATGTAAATGGCACGCACCATTCGATGAAGGATTCCTAAGGAGGCAAAATATAAAAACAGCATTAAAGGCAAAAATATAGTAACAAATAACAACGAAAAGATAAACATTTTAATCACATGAAGCCAGAATCTTTCTTGATTGTTTTTAAGAATCAGGTACAAAAATAGAAATGACAATCCTGGAAGTAAATTCACGAATTAGACGTGTACGTACGATGCTTTGGGAAATGCTCCCGCTTGAAATTGAAGTTTGAAAGATACGGTTTTCACTATTAACCCAAATGAAACGATTTTATATGTTTAGCCCTTTAATTCATTTATTTATTTATCTATTTTATGTTTCCTGATAACCCAATTATTTTTATTTACATTTCAATTTTAATTCTATATTTTTCTCAAGCACTACATTACTATTAGCAACCGGTGGTCTGAACAAAAAAAAAAAAGTTGAGACTACATTACTTCAACTGATGTTGAACAATGTAGACTTGTTAAATTTCCCCCCTCATCTTCAAAGGGTTCACATCAAATACACCATGCCAGAAATAATTAAGAAAATAAATAGGAGTGAGGTAAATAAAAAAATTGCTAAGCATATTATTTCGAATGATATTCAATTCAATGTGGTTCAGACTCGATCTTTTATTGATTTCGTGAAGAGTGTATCTGTATTTGAGTCCTAGAATTTACGTTGTATGACTCAATCATACAAATTACCAACTTACTCAACTTTATGCACGAAGCTAATACCAGATTCTACGATGGAAGTTGAGGCATACGGTGTAAATTTGCATAAAATGGGATTTATTTTATTAATTGTAACATTTTCTTTTATTGTCTTTACAAGTATATGATATAGAAGAAAATATATAAGATGTGTATAGCTTAATTTTTTGTCCCGAATTTTCAGCTCATACGTGTTATACATGTATGTATCCGTATTCGTATTTTTCTTTTCCGTTTATTTGGCCGAATTTTGCAATGTATTAAAAAAAAAAATAAAAAAAATAAAAAAAAAAAAAAAAAGTCGAATTATACTCATACATTCCCAAATCCTTCTTCTTCTCTTTTTCCTTAGCGTAATTTACTAACTATGATAATAATAAAATTCCCTAGAAGAGGGAAGTTATAGCTAAACACAATGTAAAAATTCAGATTGAATTAGATATTCGAAACATTTCATGCTGTGAACAACATGCTCTCATTACGGGCTTTTGTCTTCATTTTTTAAAACTAGCAATGACAAGCATGGAATTGATGTTCTGGAACGATAGAAATAAAAGACTGCAATTTGACCTTTGCAACTGGGCATTAGTACTCCAAGTCCAAGGCATGGATTAGAAGTAATGAAACAAAATTCCGTTGATAGATGATGTAATGTTACTTATAAAGACTGAGCATCAGCATTTCAAGATATCTTCAGCAATAGAGAGTTGCATTATATTCTTTGCGCGATAGAGAGGGCAAGGATAAGCGTCGACCTGTCTTTAGCGTGATCTTATGTTTGTGACAAGTCTGTATGAAGAGGAGAAGGTTTTTGGAGGTAGTAAGACTACCGCGCATTCTCACTTTCGGGCTATTGTCGTCAAATGGAGGGCACATCAAAGTGGATGTGGGAGTGCCGAGAGAAGGAAAGAGACTTAATAACTGTGCCTTTTTGGTTTTTTCTACACAGAAGTCGCAAGCCTCGAGAAGATAGAAGAGTGGGCTATGAAGTCTTGAATGGTGATGACTGGGGTGTGTGACTTCATTGCCGGGGACCCAATACTTCTATTCAAGCTACATTCTCGCAATGAGGCAAATAAGGTTTTAAAAAAGGGAAAACCATAGTGGGGAGATGCTTTTTTAAATACAGAGTGGGATTCTCTGGCATTATGAGGAAGAGCAAGGAATGGCGAATTCTATTGTATGGTGTGCAGCTCCATCTATGGTGCCATCCACAATTCGTTGCAATTGGGGATCAGTGTGGTGATTTTAAGGGCGTAAAAGCAAATGAAAAGGTAAACATGAAAAGAATAAAATTTTAGGCCTGGACAGAGAGGAGAAACCCGCTTTTGTGATGGCGGGGGACGGGAAGGTGTTTTATCAGGTGGCTGTGTTGGAAGAACCATGTCAGAATTGACTCTGACAGTAGCATCGCTCAGAGATCAACATGAGAAGTTGTTAACTCAAGAGAAGGATTGGTGGTGAGAGAAGGACGAAGCCAAGTGTGCATCGGAAGTATGCCGAAAATTGAAATATGAGAAGTAGAGGTAAAAGGGACAAGAGAGGTTGGGGACAAGGGTCTTTGCAAGCGCCTGAAGCACGTAAAAAGAAGAGGCGAACAAAAGGAGAGGGTCTTCTTAACAACCAAAAAGGGGTGGGAGGCAGCTCGGTTGCAACATGGCATATAGGGGATGGCAATGGGAGAGATGTCACGCGACATGTGCCGCTATTAATGATCCAATCATAAATGCAAGCATTCGGTCTAGGTTTTAAAATTTTGAAAACATAGACCACCACCTCAAACAAGAATGAACCTGCTATTACTGATCCAACCCGAAATAAAAATACTAGGTAGGAGTGACAATAACTGATACGACATGAAATAAATGTGTTTACGTTTGACTAATCGTGCTTGGATTGCAATAGTGTCATCCCATACCATAGTTGTTAAGGGCACACCTAGGCTCTAAAAAAGTCCCAGGCTTGTCGAGGCTCAGCTAGAGAGCCTTGACCTAGTAAAGGCCAAGCCCCTTTAGTCAGGCTCACTGGCATGCACTTTTTAGTATGTCCCAGGCCAAAAAAAAAAGTGTCTTTCAATTTTTGGGTAAATTCCACTTACCTCTCTTGATTCCCCCTGCCGTTGGGACACCTGACAGAGATGAACAGAATATTTTAAGGTAAGTGAAATTTGTTCTCTATTTTTCAATAATTTATTCATATCATTTTTCTTTTATCAAATGACTACTAAATTAGAATGTCACTATAGGCGATTTCACCCCACTAGGGGCGATTTCAAGGCGATCGTGATTTTGTTTTTCAGTTTCAGTTTGCGATGAAATCTTTTTTAGAAATTGCAAGGATTCCAAGAATTTCACTGAGAAGGGATGTGAAGTCAGCAGTTCCACATCGAGGGCCGTCTTTGTACATCGACGAGGAGCCCGTCGGAGGGAGGAAATCAGTTCTCTCACCTTGCTTGGTCGGTCGTTTTGACAAGGAAGTTGGGGGATGTGATCGGGTGGAGGAAGGGGCGGTGTGAGCATGGAATACGTCCTGTGGAGTGGGGGTTACTCCCTTATCCGATTCGTTGCTCCTATTCAGGTTTCCTTCTCAGGCAAAAGCTCAACGTGTGTTGAAGGAAGGCCGGCGTCAATGCGGATCTGCAACCTTGTGGATCGATGTGTGGTCTTTTAGGGTTGGTTGTTGCGGCGTCCTTAGAGACAAAGGTCTCAAACAGATCCGGATGTTTGGACTGCCCCTTCACCTATGGTGTCATGCTTTATTTGTTGAAGTAGGGGAGTTATGCGGCGGATTTATGGGAGTTGTTGCAGATGAAACAAGGGACGCCGAAAGCGTTCGGATTACAGTGAGAATAGGATCGACCTGTCCGCAATTCGTGTTTATTAATGATGACACCTTCTGTTACAAGGTGGCGATCTGGGAAGAAGTCGCGCCGGAGTTGGTTCCCTCGACAGAGAGTCTTGAATGCAGTGACGGGTCTCATCTTATGACTAAGGAAGGATGGAATTCGCTTCTTAACAAAGGGAAAGAAGCGGTGCAACAGGTCCAACAATGGCTGAAAGATAGAGAACTTCAAAAAATTTGTGCGAGGAATCAAGTAGCCGAGACGCGCCGGTTAAGCGCGTTGCAGCTGACAAGAATAAAATTACACGTGGCGCTCGTAGAGGCTCACTTCCAGATTCGTCCCTATCCTTATCTACAAGGGTTGGTGAAGAGGTTGGGTAGGGCCGCACAAATTAGCCTAAGGTTGATTTAGGTTGGAGGGGTTCAGGGCAAGCTAAAGTGTTAAGTTTTGGGTCTGGGAGGAATGGGCTCAAGTTCAAGCCTGACTTTGGGCCTAAGACAGCCCACACTAAAAGACGGGTATTTAGAGGACCCAACTCACTTTCTGTTTCCTTTCTCAACGAACCAGATCCATCTAAAAGACAAGCCCAGGTTCAAGCTCAAATCCAAAACCAAACTCTCTCCTCTTCTTCATTTCAGCGTCGGACTGAGAAAGAAAAGTGGAGACTGCCGGTTGCTTCAGCTAGTCGCCAAGGCACTCGATGGACTCGTACTGAAAAACATAAATGGGTAGCATGCTCTCCTTCTCCTTCTCCTTCTCCAGGTTTGACCTCTGTTTCTCATTCTAAGAGCTCATTTTCTACCCCTACTTGTGAGGTGATGGGAAATGGTGGCGGTGGTGTGGAGTCATTGTCTTCAATGATCACGTCCGGAAGTGTTAGTTGTTCCAACGGGGTCATAGTATGTGTAGGACGGGACCTTCATTTCAAGCTGACAGATGATTTAGCCATGACTTTACTTAACGAACTTAAGCTCTTTGTTGCTCTAAAAGGCTTAAATGGTTTACCCTCCGTGATTGGGATGAATTACACCCATGATTTGATGACAAATTTTACGGATGACCATGGAACAGAGCTGAATCTGCAATTAAACTTGTATCAGAACAGTGTTGAAAGCAAATGGGAGGAGTTTGAAGATCAATTTTCTTCTCAACAGATCTGTCCTCTTGCCTGGGATATTGATCAATCTGACGTGGACATTATGGAACCCTTAGCAACTGTGCACCCTGATTGCCTAGAGACGACAAACGATTTGGGTATGGACTATGTGTTTGATAATATTGGCGAGGTCAGTGAAGCTTTGGGTGTCTCCTCGGAAGGTGATGATGACCGAACACAATCCATTCTTCATGTTATTGTGGCAGGAAATAACCATACAGAGACCTTTAAAAGCACAAAAGTTGATAAAAATAGGAAACATGCACATCGGAAAGGAGATCAGGAGGTTAAGAACCTTATTTCCAATGTCAATTACGAAGGGAAGGATGGAGTGAATAAAGAAAGGGGAAGGACCAGGAGTGGGAAGCAGGGAGGAAGGGCATTGATTATTTTTGGTTCTCAATGAAGATACGAATTATTACATGGAACGTCCGTGGATTAAATGATCCGGACAAAAGAAGGGTGGTTAAAGTCACTGTGAGGAAGTGGAATGCCCATGTTATATGTTTGCAAGAAACCAAGTTGGCTTCTATTACTGATGATGTGGTTAGAAGCCTTTGGGGAAGTAGGTTCTTGGATTGGGAAGCATTGAACGCCTCCAGCACATCGGGCGGCATTCTTATTATGTGGGATCGCAAATGGATGTCCGGAACGAATTTCTGGAAAGGGCTATTTTCTTCGTCATGAGTGTTTCAGATGGAAGATGATACTTTCAGTTGGGTCTTTTCTGGAGTTTATAGACCCGTTATTGATTGTGAAAGACCTGTTTTTTGGTAAGAACTCGTTGCCTTGGTGCTTAGGCGGGGACTTCAATTCTATTCGATCTCCATTTGAGAGATCCACAGGGGGGAGGTGGTCTCCGGAGATGACCCAGTTCTCTGACTTTATTGATGGTCACCTTCTTATTGATTTGCCATTGGAAGGGGCAACTTTCACTTGGTCAAGCGGCAGAGACCCAGTTACTCTATCAAGGCTAGATAGATTCCTGAATTTTGGAGATTGGGAGGAGAAGTTCCCGGATGTCACTCAGGCAGCTTTGGTTAGAGTCACGTCTGATCACGAGCCCTTAGTCCTTGATTGTGGAGGTATGACATCTAGACGCACACCATTTCGCTTCGAAAATATGTGGTTGAGAGCTGAGGACTTCCAAGGGAAGGTCCAGTCCTGGTGGGGGGAAGCAACGTTTACAGGCTCTACCAGTTATGTGCTTGCTAAGAAGTTTCAGATTCTCAAATATGAGCTTAAGAAGTGGAACAAAGAGGTGTTTGGGAATCTTTAATGGAAGAAAAATAGAGTCCTGGCTTATATTGCTGAACTTGATCGTCTTGATGAGCTAGGGCAAGGCTCAGAGTCTCTGCGCTCTAGAAGAGCATCTTGTCTGGCGACTTTTGCTGAGATTGCTACTATGGAGGAGATTTCGTGGCGTCATAAATCTCGAGCTCTGTGGCTCAAAGAAGGTGACCGCAATACTAAATTCTTTCACAGGCTTACTAACGCTCATAGAAGATACAATAACATTGGGCACATTCATGTGAATAGTTCAGAATTGTGGAAAGAAGATGAGGTGTATGGGGGAATTGTTTCTTTTTATCAGCAGCTCTATACCGAGACTTTGGGATGGAGACCCAAATTTGACGGTTTGCATTTCGATGCTATTTCTATGCTGGATAGTGATAGGCTTGACGTTCCGTTCTCTGAAGAGGAAGTTCTTAAGGCGTTATCCAATTGTAATGGTGATAAAGCTCTAGGGCCAGACGGATTCACTATGCGATTTCTTAAGGAGAGTTGAGAGGTGGTGCGCAATGAGGTAATGGACAGTGTTATTAAAGGCACGCCTAGGCACGCGCCTAGGCACTAGGCACCTACAGGCGCACTCATAATAGCCTAGGCGCAGCGACCTTCATTAGGCGCGCGCCTGGGACGCGCTTGATGCTTTTATTCAGGAGCGCCTAGGCGCGCCTGATTACTTATCCATGTGTTATTCAGCTTTTTCCATGTGTTGTTCACTTTTCCATGTGCTGTTCAGCTTTTTCCATGTGCTGTAAATTTGTCTTCTTGTGCAATAAAAGAATAAAATAAAGAAAAGAAATGCAATGATCAAATAAAAATGGATACAACATAGAAACGTGAGAGAGTGGAACAAATAAAGAAAGACCAAAAAGAGAAAGAAAGAAAGGGGAGTAGTTTATTGCAATGAACTTTGTCTTCTTGTGCAATAAAAGAATAAAATAAATTTACCATTCCTGCTTTTTTTTTTTTTTCCTTTTTCTTTTTCTGTTCTGTTTTTTTCTTCTTCCTTTGAGATTGTTTAAGATTGTTTGGTTTTATCACTCAAAACTGAAACTAAATACCTTCTATTTGCAGTTTTTCTTAATGGAGCTTTATTGTTTTAATTGGGCTATTTTGCTGGTTGCTTTATTGGTTTAATTGTGATATATTTAGTATTTTTATTACTGGATGTTTATTGTTTAATTGTGTTCTTTTTGCTAAGAATTATTGTTTTAAATTTTTACTTGTGCGCCTCACATCACTCGGGCGTGCACCTCGCCGTGCACCTCGCGCCTAGGCTCCAATGCCTTTAATAACTATGGTAATGGGCACGTTTCAGGATTTTCATTCTCATGGCACATTTGAAAAATCATTGAATGCATCTTTCATTGCTCTTATTCCTAAGAAGGGCGACGCCTCTGACATTAAGGTCTTCCGGCCAATCAGTCTAGTGGGATGTATGTATAAGCTTATTGCCGAGGTCCTTGTTCTTAGAATGCGAAATGTTTTGGATGGAATTATTTCAGAGTCACAAAATGCTTTTGTTGGTGCAGATTTTAGATTTCGTTATTATCGCAGGAGAATGTGTTGACTCTAGGTTGAAGAGTGAAGTTCCTGGTGTCTAATGCAAACTTGATATCGAGAAAGTTTATGATCACGTGACTTGGAAATTTCTTCTTTACTTGCTTCAAAGAATGGGGTTCGGGGATCGATGGATAAAATGGATTGAATATTGCATCTCGTCCGTTATGTTCTCTGTGCTTGTGAACGGCTTTCCTGCTGTTTTTTTCTCGAGTTCGCGTGGTTTGAGACAAGGAGATCCTTTGTCGTCTTTTCTATTACTTATTGTTATGGAGGGATTGAGCAGATTAATGAAAAAAGCAGAGGATCTGGGTTACATAGGGGGATTCACAGTTGGTAGAGATGTTGCTAATCAGATTGAGATATCCCATTTGTTGTTTGCAGATGATACCTTGGTTTTTTGTGATGCTGATGTTTCCCAACTCAGGTATTTGAGGTGCATTCTTACATGCTTCCAAGCGCTGTCTGGTCTTAAGATTAATGTTGGAACGAGTGTGTTTGTCCCAGTGGGGGATGTTTTTGATATTTCCACCTTAGCTGCAGTTCTTGGGTGTGGAGTGGGTGCTTTTCCACTCCCTTATCTGGGATTACCTTTGAGAGTATCCTCTAGAAGAGTGGGGACCTGGGATCCGATAATTAACACGTATGAAAAAAGATTGACGGGATGGAAAAAACAATATCTTTCGAAAGGGAGGAAGGTCACTCTTATTAAGAGCACCCTCTTGTCCCTTCCCACATATTTTTTATCCTTGTTTCAAATCCCGTGCTCTGCTGCTGAACGGATCGAAAAAATTCAGAGAGATTTTCTTTGGGGTGGAAAAGGAGAGGAGTTTAAGTATCATCTTGTTAATTGGGAGCAAGTTTGCAAACCTTTGAAGTTTGGCGGTTTAGGCATTCGGAAGTTGGTCTCTTTTAATAGAGCCTTATTGGGGAAGTGGTTATGGAGGTTCGATAAAGAGCGTCATCAACAATGGAGAAGAGTTATCTCGTGTCGTTTTGGGGAGGAGAGTGGAGGTTGGTCCTCTCGTCTTGTATCTATCAATGGAGGCGTTGGCGTTTGGAAGTTCATTTGGAAAGGTTGGGATGTGTTTTCCACCCATATTCAGTTCAAGGTTCGTAATGGTACGAATGTTAGATTTTAGGAAGACTTATGGTGTGGTGATTAGTTGTTGTCACTTTCCTTTCCTCGTCTCTTTTGTATAACCGAGAATAAGCATGCTTACGTAATTGACTGTTATCATCTTGATAACAATGGAGTTATGTGGGATGTGCATTTTAGGCATTCTTTTCAGGATTGGGAGATAGCAGAAGTATGCGTCTTTTTGAACCTATTGTATAGACAAAAGGATGTTGGCAGAGGTTGTGATGACATTTTGTGAACCCCCTCTCTTCATGGTAGATACGGAGTTCGATCCATGTTTTTGTGTTTGTCTAAATTTATTGGACATAATTTCCCATGGAAGTGTATTTGGCGCTCTAAAGCTCCTCTTAGAGTCGCCTTCTTTGTTTGGACTGCTACCTGGGGAAAAATTCTAACATTGGATAATCTGCACAAGAGAGGTAACACCATTGTTAACTGGTGCTGTCTCTGTAAAACTGATGGTGAGTCCGTGGACTATTTTCCGTGGACTATTTTCTTATGCATTGTCCTGTTGCGTCTGATTGTTGGAATCTCATATTCAGTATTTTTGGAGTTCAATGGGTAATGCCTAAGCATTCTTTTCAATTAATGAATGCTTGGAGAAGATACCCTGCTACTCGTCATGCTCATGATTTTTGGAGGGTCGCCCCACACTGTGTTTGGTGGTGCATTTGGAGGGAGAGAAATAACAGAAATTTTAAAGGAAATGAATCGTCTTTAGCAAACCTAAAGTCTTATATTCTTCGCTTTCTTTTCTGTTATGTAAGAGGCAGCGCTTGCTCCTCGATTGATGATTTTTTTATTCTCTTGGACTCTATTGGTCCATAGGTTTGACTTCTGTTTTTTCATTTTTGCGAATTAGGGACGCGTTCCCCTTTTGAACGTTTTTCTAATATATTTTTTACTTATCAAAAAAAAAAAAAAAAATGTTTGATATCATATCATGATCATATTTTTCAACATTATGAAATATTTGACAAAATCCATAACTTTATAGTTGCATTTAGTGCTTAATTATGAATACTTACGATAATATATGTTTAAAGTAGTGCATAATGAAAATTATAATTATTTCAGATTCATAATCACATTTAATTTGGTTAATACATATGCATATGAAATTATTTATGAGCATTAATTAACCTAATCCTCTCTTAGTTGATATATCAAAATCCCATTTTTAAAGAATTTTTTATTTTTTGGGCACATAGCTCAAATTGTTCTTATTACACATTGATTTTATTGAATTCATCATCAATTGGTGTTGTGCATGTGCAAAAGAGATGAGGAAACGGTGGATCATCTGCTCCTGCATTGCCCTTTGGCTCAGGATTGTTGGGGTTTACTTTTAAGGTTCTTTAGGTCATGCCAAAGTTCCCTAATGCTTTGGTGGAGGCTTGGAGAGGGTGTATAGTGGGGGCCAAGCTCAGGATTATTGGAGGGTTGCGCCCTTATGCGTCTGGTAGTGCTTATGGCTAAAAAGGAATAGAAGATCTTTTGAAGGAAAGAAGACTCCTATAGGGACTCTTAAGTTCTCTATTATTAGCACTCTTTTTTGTTCTCTATTAAATGAGCTCGGGATTATTGGAGGGTTGCACCCTTATGCATCTATGCATCTGGTGGTGCTTATGGCTAGAAAGGAATAGGAGATCTTTTGAACGAAAGGAGACTCCTATAGGGACTCTTTAAGTTCTCTATTATTAGGACTCTTTTTTGTTAGGTTCTAGGGAGAAATTGTAATTCTATAGAGGAAATTGTTGATATTTTGGGCTCTTTGAGTATTTAGAGGCCCCATTTGGTCTTGTGTTTGTTTTGTGGGATGCATCCCCTTTTGGGCGCTTTAATACAATCTTACTTATCAAAAAAATATACATTTATTGAATTCATATGCAAATAGAAAAGATATATGTATGTTGATTTAACTAATTTATTGAAGGGTTAATTTCACAAACAACCCCTTAGGTTTGGCCAAATATCACTCTCAAACATCTTTCAAAAATAACTATCACTTAGGTCTATTTCTATTTTTCCGTTAAAATCTCCGTTAATAATATAAAAAAGACAACTATACCCCCTTATTTTTTAATCCTATTTATTCCAAAATATACATTATACCTTCAGTTATATAAATAGAAATAGACCTAGTTTAAAATATATATATATATATATATATATATATATATATATATATATATATATATATTATAATCGCAAATATATATTGTAGGTGACGACATCTCTGTGCCATCAACGGAGAACGGCTGTAAATTGCAGCGTTGATTTTTTTA